ATTTTAATATTATTTTTAATTTTTAATCAATCTAAAAATTATTTAATAATACATACAAATTATAGTACCAAATATAGTTTATTTATTTTTATTTTCTCATTTATTTATTTTAGTGACAAATAACATGCCATAAAAATAATTTATCGATTATTATAACAAATCGGATCGAATTGTTATCTGATCAGATAGTTATCGATGATGAGAGTGTGATATCTGTGAAAAGATTGAAGGATTTGAAAAAAACTAATATTTTTTTTGGATAACGTATTTTGACAATTTTATCTATCAATTAGGATATCATTTGAGTTAAAATTACTATTTGAACGTTGACTGATGAATTTATGGACGACATGGGTGAAATGAACCAACGCTGTAATTATATATAAAGGTTTGGGACTTCGACCGCAAAAATTAAAGGTTTGGGTGTAATCTGCAACAAAATGAAAGGTTTGGAACCAGCGCTGCAATTTTTTCGAGTCAAAATTACTGTTGAAACGTTGACTGACGGTTTTATGGACGGAATTAAAGGTTTGGGACCGACGCTGCAACCACATATAAAGATTTGGGATTTCGGCCGCAAAAATAAAAGGTTTAGGTATAATCTGCAACAAAATGAAAAGTTTGGGACCACGGCTGCAATTTTCCCCATTTTATTATATAAAATTTGGTTGTTTGGTAAAATAGAATAATTTTATGTTAATATCTTATCATGTAATATATAAATATTAAAATTGATAAATATTTCAATTTTTTTTAGCTACAAAAGTAAAAAAATGAAAGTAAATGATAAATTGAGTTGGCAAAATATAGGAAATTAAAAATAAAAATTAATGATGATAATTTTTATCTATGTTTATTTAAATATATTTATGTAAATAATCATAAGAGTTTGAACTTTTTTTATTTTTGACTATTTTTTTTTCCTAGATTTTTTTTAGAGTTTTTTTTTTTAAAACAATTTAGGTTTCATTTTTTCAATTTTTTTATTTTTTTATTTTAGAATTTTATTTTTTATAATTTGTAAATTTGTTTTTTAAAAAAATATTCAAAATTTTTATTTAAATGTTTATTTTCCATATTTTGCGTGTTTTTAGTAAACTCTGGAAATTTTCAAAACTTCAAAAATGTGTTTTCAGTTTTATGTTATAAGTTTAATCTTGATTTCGAGAATTCAAGCTAGACATGTTTTGGATATTTTTCAAAATTGAAAGCAAAAAGTAGTTTGAAAATATTAAACCAAACGCACACTGAGAATTTTCAGGAATCGGTGAAACAACTTTTCTCAGTTAATTTCCATATACAATTGCCTCAAAGCAACGATTCTATTGCGAAATGAAGATCGGACCATATCTTCATTCATTACCTGAGACGATAACTGGTTAGGATTGTACAAATTAAATATATTATAAAACATAATGAAATTTCAAGTATCTATAAAAGGAATATACCATCATTCTTAACTTTTTAGTTGACATAAATAAACTTTCGAGTAAACGTCCTCAAATAGGAACTATGCATGTTTGGAAGGTTTTTTTTTGCTAATACATTTTTGGTAATTAAGATTTAGATATAAATTCATATTATGGTTATATGGTAATTAAATATTTTTAGATATTTTTCTATAAAATTTAATTAATAATTTATCACATTGTTGCTCATGAAGTAGCACAACATTATAATTAATATTTCATAAAATATTAATCGTATATGTCTATTATAAATATTGTTGTTTCTGAAGTAGCACACAATTATTAATATTCTAGTTAGATTTTACTTGTTCCCGAAAAGCATAATTAAGTAAAATAAATTGTGTTTTAACTTCTGAAAAATAAATTTTTATATGATTTATTATTTCAAATAATGATATGTTATTGCTCCTGAAGAACACGACACTCTGATTCCAATGTTTCAGAAAAATAGTGATATATTGCTATTGAAGAAGCAAATATATGATTCCTGAAGAGCAATAGTTTTGAAATAATAGTTCATCGTTGTCTCTGAAGTTGCACAACATCATAATTAATATTCCTGAAGAATAGTACTTGCTCCTGAAAGCATGAATTATAATTTTCAATATTTCACAAGAATATTAGCATATTGCTTTTGAATGAGTAATAATAAATACAACATACTCTCGAAGTAGCACATATTTTGAAAAATGTATAATTTTGAATTCATGTTTATCCTTGAAGGACAACATGTAATTAATGTCATGGGAACATTGATTAATTTGATTACTTGAATGATATATGAT